GTGAATGGTTCATGAAATGCTACATTGGTTCCATATAATTTATATTACAAATGGATGAAATCTAAGTCACATTTCTTCCATCAGAAATGTTTAAAAAATTATAGACTAGGAATTGATGTGGAGTAATTTGTTCCAAAAAATGTATGTTAGTGGGAACATTGTTATCATAACCTATAAACTGTCATATATTGTAATTCACTTATAATAATGATGTAAGGATCTGTTTAATATGCATTAACAGGTGCAACTGAAACTGTAGGTAAGTTCTTATCAAATTAAACTAGATTTCTAATGTAGCAGAAAATGTTACAGTTTGAACTAGATGTTAAGTAAGAAATTTCTGCCATTATGTTTTCATGCTTGTTACATGTGTATTGCTGAAAAATGTGATTTCACCTTCTGATTATTTCCAATATCATTATACAGTCATTTTATCTGTGCCTATACAGGAAGAGATGGATATGAAGGTGTTACAGTTTCAAAATAAAAAACTTGTTGAAAGACTTGAGCAAAGACACCGGCAGGAGGCTGATCTTCGTCAAAGGATTGAACAGTTGGAAAAGAGACAGACGAGTGATGAAGCTGTGTTGTGTGTTGTGAATCGCTACTGGAATCAGGTTTCTGAACTAATTTAGAGACTTAAGCTAATATATGAAAATAAGTGAGTTAAAACAGGTTACTGAAGTTTTATAAAATTCTTTTTACTTCTTAGGACAAAAATTATGAAATGTTCTTATTAAACATCAGAATCATTACCTTGGTGCATTCTGAGATGTTTAAATTTTTGTTTTAAACCCATGTGTATTAATTATTGAAGATTATGAGGTTAAAAGACTGAAAAACAGTATACAAGTTATATAGTTTTTTTAGTTTAATCATAGGATTTTGTTGTGTTCTGTTTAAGTAGTATATTTTTATAAAATTGTGTCAGAGAAGTTTATTGTTTAAACTATAGCCTCTTCACTTCCAAATAGTGTTGAACCTTTTTTCAGCTGAATGAGGATTTAAGAATTCTGCTACAGAGATTTGATGCTGAAACATCTGATGAATCAGAAACAAAAAGTAAGTACTTAAGGTGACTACAAAGTACAAACAGGTTTTTCTAACAGATCATCTTGTTAACTCTCTCAAAACAGGCTCGGTCAATTTGACTAACCATGTAACCTTTATAGATTTGATACTACCAACTTTTGATATTGTATGTGTATCATCATAAAATTTAGCAGTCTTTCAGTAAACATTATATATATATGTTATATATATAACATATACACATTTTTTTGTGAAGCATTTTAAATAAACTAAAAAAAGATTTGTTTGTGAATATATCAAGTATTTGTTTTGAATAGTCCATGTGCAAAGTGATTTTCATGTTAAGATTAAAAATACTTTTCTTCATCTTAAAAATCTTAGATTTGATTTATGTATTCTCTAAGTCCTCCTAAGTACATTTCTAATGTTTCTTTTCACTAAAACTGTATATCTTATCTGTTATTTTCTCTACACTAACTCTATACAACATTGATCAATTTGACTAACCTCATAACCATAAAAAAATTGAATAAGTCTG